AAATGTTTTTCTTGCTGTATTTTTCTGACTTCTTGTAAGGTTATTTGTGACCTTTCAAACCTCTCCTTCTCCCCCTCACTTCTGCTTGTTTGGAACAAAACCGTGCATGTTAGTTGTGGCCATGTGCACCACTATATGCATGCTAAATCCCATATTCCATCTCACAAGTGAGCAAGATTGGTCTGCTGCATTCTACATACAGTAGGGACCATAGAAAACGAACATAGCCACCTTCTAACTGGAAGTTCGATCAGAACAGCAGTAGTATTTTGGAGGAGACTCAGAGCAATAGAAGGTACTTTTTTTGAGTAATACATACTTGCATACTTAAAAGGGAATTTCACCCAAAAGTGGAAGCTTCAAGTCTTCCGTGTCCCCCCCCCCCCCCCCCTGTCCCATATTTGGCATGAGTTTTTTTGGGGGGAGCAGGAACCTGGTTTTGACAGGTCCCCACTCCCACTTCTGCTCAGATTGCCTAGGCCCTAAAGTATTTGTAGCTGCTGACATTTATTTTTTTTTCCCAGGGTGAACAACCGCTTTAAACTGGAATTTCACCCAAAAGGGTTCCACTTTTCTGTCTCCTCATCAACTTTTGCAACATTAAAGTTTGTGGAGGTGATGGTGGGTACCTAGTTTTTATAAATAAATATATCGGTATAATACTAGGTGATGACACAAAATAATAAACTGAAATATAAAAAACGAAAAAAAACCCAGACACCAAAAAATACTTTCTCCCCCAAAAATCCAAAACAGTCCAACTTTTCTTCAGTGTCTCTGTGTATAAAATAACCAGTGGAAATAATACTTTCTTAGTGAATATTCTTCTTCCACAAGTGCCAAAGAATCCTCTTCCTCCACTTAGTGCCCTCAAAAAATATAAATCGCATATAGTCCCGAGGACGTGACGTCGGACGTAAACCGGAAGTTGCGCAGTGGCCATTTTGGAAAAGTTTTTTTACGCTGTTTGCCAGTCTTATGCATGCTGAGACACATTATCTTTCTTGTAAGCACAATTTGATCATTAGAGGAGCTATATCCCTATCATTGCCTACGACACTATGTTGGTTGTACTTTGCTACATGTTATGTTGCCATTTGAGAATTGGATGATCTATACAGTGATAAGAGCCCCCCTTTTCTAAAGTGTACGGATCTTATCTGGTAAGGTGCATAAGATAAGAGGTAGCGGTCAGTGTGCACACGACCACTTGGAGTTTGTTACTATGGGGGGGAGCACAAGCAGAGTGAAAGTATTTTTGTGATACAATAATATATGCGATTCCTTTGGAGGTATATTTCCTATGCAAAGGCGGATGGATTTAGGAACCCAACCACAAAGGAAGATTGTTTGGAAGCTTTTTTTTGATTTTTATAAGAGGGTAAGAGTAATGCAGGCCATAGACGGGTCAAAAACCGTCCGTTTTTAATAAAAAAAAAAAAAAAAAAGAAGAAGAAAAATCGGTTGTTCAATAGGCCGACGTTACCACCAATGGTAAAAAAAAAAATTGCCCGATTTTTGTCCCTTCTACGGGCAGCATTTATTTACTTCTGTCCCTTGAAGAGAGCTCCGCTATTTGACATGAAAAAGTATTGCGGATGCAACAATGTATTCATTTGTATCCATTTCAGATACAGATGTTTTTATTCGGATACAAATAGATACATTGTTGCAACCGCAATACTTTTTCATGTCAAATATAATAGCGGACAGGAATTCTTCTTTTTCTTCTTCTTTTTCTTCTTCCTCTTCTTCTTTTTTTCTTATTCTTTTTCTTCTTTCTCTTCTTTTTCTTATTCTTGCAGGTCACGGCTCATGTGCAGATTTTTTATCGGTTTTTAAAACGATAGGCCAAGTTGGCCATCATTGCCGGGAAGATCGGCAAAATCGGGTGACCTTTTCTTTTTTTTCCCCAACTTTACCGATAAAAAAAAAATGTGCCAAAACCTCAAAAAACGGCCGACCCATTCACCAACTAACGGTGCGAAAATCGGCCGTTTTTTTTTTTTTATTTGGTTTTTTTTTTTTTCGGCCGATTTTCAACCCGTCTATGGCCTGCATAAGGATGACGGATGGTTAAAGGTGCACATACGGTGGAGTGGATTTTTGTACGCATTGGCACAATTGTAGTAAATGCGTTTTGCTATGTTGTGTATCATGCATTGTAGATAATGCACTATATGCGATTTATATTTTTTTGAGTGATTAAGAGGAGGAAGAGGATTCTTTGACACTTGTGGGAGAAGAATATTCACTAAGAAAATATTAGTACCACTGGTTATTTTATACACAGAGATGCTGAATAAGAGTTGACTTAGTTTTTGTAGTTACCCGCTCCCACTTCTGCTCGGATTGCCTAGTTGTCCCCCCACCGCATGCAGCCACTTTGGACACATCACAGATTCCAGAAGGCTGTGGGACCATTCACAAAGTGTAGCTTGAACATGCACAGTGGGAAGCCCCCTGTAAAGCTGGCTTCCCAAACTAAAGATGCCGGGGACCCCTATGACCAGTGAAGAACAGGTCCAGGTGAGGACGGAATTGGATCCCTGAACAGGTAACTGCCTTTTTATTAAAAGTCAGCAGCTGCAGGATTTGTAGCTGCTGACTTTTATTTTTTTGCTTAATAGAGGATATTCACCCTATAATTAGATTTTTTTTTTTTTTTTTTTTTTAAGCAGAGTTTTTTAATGTCATTTTAAGAGGACTATTGGATGGGTCTTGAGCATTACTTAATTCTTAGTGCTATTTCCTGGATTTCAATATTTTTTTTCCTTTTTTCTGTCGGCTGTCGTCCTCCTTTTTTCAACATTTTCCTGGCTGGTACATGTGCTGTTTCTCTAAAACTTTTTTTTATTTGAAAAAAAAAAAAAAAACATTGAAAAGAAAAGGTCAGAGTGATGTTTCATATGGTATCAACCCATTGGGCACAAGTAACCTGATCTCAGGGATATGAGGGGAGAATGCACTTAGTGGAAGTTGCAATAAAACTCTTGTAGGCTTCATTGATTCCACATAGAGACGGTTCTGCTGGCAAGGGATCTAATGGTGTCTACAGAGCTACAGAAAGCCACATCATTGACTCCACAGATACTAAATGTACTTGGTAATGAGATAATTGCTTACAGTAACTGTGGCTTTGTGTAGGATAGAGATGGAACATTTGGGATAAAGGTGGAACATGTGGTGCCATTTATTAACACAGGTTAAACACATCTATAAAAACTAGGAAGAGGGAAACATAGCCTGCTTCACTTATCAACGTATCAGAAGGCTGACCTTCACTGCCTCACTCCCCTGAGTTGTGTAACCCCCCTGCACTCCCAGCCCTCTGCAATCTAAATTTACCCCCCCCCCCCCCCCCCTTTCCCTTTTAGCAGCATGTCTTTTTCCAGGGACGGAGTTCTGTCTTTTTCCAGGGACGGCTCCTTCCTTTAACCTTTCCTAAATAGAAAATATGCTGCCGACCTTCTGCAGTAGCCTGGCTTGTATGCCGACCCACTTGCCTATAGTACTTTGACCAAGGCTGGCAATACATTATACAATTTTCTTGTACAATTTTTCTTTAGGTTTACCAAAACCATATAATATAAGGTCAAACCGAAACACTTTCAATTTGTATGCGGTCAGGCAGGCCCTTGCACTACATAGTGAAGGTGCATAATAATGTATGGCCAGCTTTACTAACCTAAAACAATTGTTTGCTTTCTTGTTTTGGGTCAGTGACTCATTAAATTGTTTAAAGCATATCTGTGGTCAGCATTAGTCATTTCGGCTCTGGAAGATTTACCCCCTTTCTGACCAAGCCATTTTTTGCAATACAGCGCTGCATTATTTTAACTGAGAATTGCGTGGCTATGCAATGCTGTACATAAATGACATTTTTCATTTTTTCCCCCCAGAGCTTTGTTTTGGTGGTATTTGATCACCTCTGTGTGTTTTTTGTGTTTTTTTTTGTTTTTTTCGCTGTAATTTACAATTTAAAAAAAAAAAAAAAAACTATTTTTTTGATTTTTTACTAAAAAAACATATCCAATATGGGTCACATGCTCACCCATACCTAGAAGTACTGGGTATTTGCTTCCCTCCCAGTGATGAGATGGAGCAGCGGGGAACAAATGGAAAGGGGAGTATTAGCAGTTGCAGCCCGGCATGAGCAAAGCACAAGTTCACTTTAAGGCCCTCGGTAGGGGCATCTAGCTCCAGCGTGTTTGTTCTCATTTCAGTGCACCTGGCATCCAGTTCCACAGTCTGCAGCCTGTCAAAGTCTATGGCAAACTGATATACTCTTCAGCTGGATGGGGCTGAACGCAGTGCTGATTGGTACTCGTGTTTAGGATCGTATACATTTGGGAATGAATGCAGGGCTAAACGCTGTACCGGTTTCCTGGGCGGGCTAAACGCTGTACCGGTTTCCTGGGCGGGCTAAAAACGCTGTACCGGTTTCCTGGGCGGGCTAAAAACGCTGTACCGGTTTCCTGGGCGGGCTAAAACGCTGGGTGTGCATGCACAGGAGCTAGGCACCCTGTCTACAAGTATACATAGTATATTGTAGGCCACCCAGGTAGCTCTTAGGATGGCACAACTTATCTGATATTTTCTGTGTCGCTGGAGCTTAGCTTGTAGTTCTTTTTGTTGTCTGTTTTTGGGTTCATTATTTCTTTTACCTTCTACTAACATTACCCATTAATGTTGAATGTGGCTGGGTTCAATATTACTTTTGTCATAACTATTTTAAAATGCATGTAAATAACCATGATCTTTGTGCTTGCTGCCTTTGCGCAAAGTGGGGTTATGGAGCTGAGGGGAGGTCTTTGTAGTCCATCAGATATCAATTAAGCAGGGCTGCCACCACTGGCACCGCTGAGTTATTCTGTGGTATGTTTAAAAGGATAAAGTATGGAGAAATGTACATGTGTTGCATAGATATTTTTTTTCCTTGACATTATGACTTGTCTCATCTGATATGTTTTTTTTTTTTTTTTTTTTTGTTGATTCAGGCCTAGGGTTCAACATTGTGGGTGGCACAGACCAGCAATATGTGTCTCATAATGACAGCAGTATATACGTTAGTAGCATCAAGGAGAATGGAGCTGCTGCTGTGGATGGTAGGCTGCAGGAGGGAGATCGGATACTAGAGGTAAGACACTATTGTATTCCTTCTGTCTCTGTGGGATTGCTTGTAGTAACTCAGGGATGTGCAAATCCTATCGCCCGACTCCCGGGACACGCAGGACTTGCTTAAGAAAGTGATGGATAAATGCCGGGGGTGGGGGTTGGTGGTGGGGTTACAGCCTGTGCACACTCAGTGTCTGTGACTCTCCTTCAGACAGCACACTTCCCCCCTCCCTCCCCTCATAGACTGGAGAGGAGAGAGATAACTTTTTCCTCCATCTCTTCCCGCCGCTCTCCTCAGTGATTGCCCCGTGGGGGGAAAATTCGAAGATCCATGCGGCTGTATGATTGCCGATGTCTGAGCCTACACAGGGCAGCCTGGGGATGAGCGATCTCTGTTCCCCACCTTGTTCTCTTCTCTCCTTATCTACTGCCCCCTCCCTGTTCTTCCAGGAGCTTCACACTTAACCATTTCATGTAACAGCAACTGAGCTCTGACAAAAGGGGGCACTCTGCTGAGCTCTGACAAAAGGGGGCACTCTGCTGAGCTCTGACAAAAGGGGGCACTCTGCTGAGCTCTGACAAAAGGGGGCACTCTGCTGAGCTCTGACAAAAGGGGGCACTCTGCTGAGCTCTGACAAAAGGGGGCACTCTGCTGAGCTCTGACAAAAGGGGGCACTCTGCTGAGCTCTGACAAAAGGGGGCACTCTGCTGAGCTCTGACAAAAGGGGGCACTCTGCTGAGCTCTGACAAAAGGGGGCACTCTGCTGAGCTCTGACAAAAGGGGGCACTCTGCTGAGCTCTGACAAAAGGGGGCACTCTGCTGAGCTCTGACAAAAGGGGGCACTCTGCTGAGCTCTGACAAAAGGGGGCACTCTGCTGAGCTCTGACAAAAGGGGGCACTCTGCTGAGCTCTGACAAAAGGGGGCACTCTGCTGAGCTCTGACAAAAGGGGGCACTCTGCTGAGCTCTGACAAAAGGGGGCACTCTGCTGAGCTCTGACAAAAGGGGGCACTCTGCTGAGCTCTGACAAAAGGGGGCACTCTGCTGAGCTCTGACAAAAGGGGGCACTCTGCTGAGCTCTGACAAAAGGGGGCACTCTGCTGAGCTCTGACAAAAGGGGGCACTCTGCTGAGCTCTGACAAAAGGGGGCACTCTGCTGAGCTCTGACAAAAGGGGGCACTCTGCTGAGCTCTGACAAAAGGGGGCACTCTGCTGAGCTCTGACAAAAGGGGGCACTCTGCTGAGCTCTGACAAAAGGGGGCACTCTGCTGAGCTCTGACAAAAGGGGGCACTCTGCTGAGCTCTGACAAAAGGGGGCACTCTGCTGAGCTCTGACAAAAAGGGGGCACTCTGCTGAGCTCTGACAAAAGGGGCACTCTGCTGAGCTCTGACAAAAGGGGGCACTCTGCTGAGCTCTGACAAAAGGGGGCACTCTGCTGAGCTCTGACAAAAGGGGGCACTCTGCTGAGCTCTGACAAAAGGGGGCACTCTGCTGAGCTCTGACAAAAGGGGGCACTCCGCTGTGGTATAGGGCTAAAGATGGGGACTCTGATGTGAACATGGTGCTTTTCCTGACTGCTGCACTCTATATGTTTTGTTTTTTTACCTACTCCTGGCCCTTGGACTGTATACATTATGCTGTACATAGAACTGACTAAGATGCTAGTTGTCCCAACAGTTGCTGGTTTTAATGAAATTCGTCTTTAAGGTAGGCACATTAACCGCTTCTCCGCTGCCCTATAGCAGATATACTGCTACAGGGCGGCAGGGGTGTGCAAAATCATGTGTATATATACGTGATTTTGCATTTACGGGTAGGGAGTGCACGTGCCCTACCCGCACCGCCATTTGTGGCTGCAGCTGTGATTACCCACCGGCGCCCGGTGATCACTGAGGATCTCCAACAGGGAGGAAGGCTGCTTTGTTTACAAACAGTCCTCCTCCCTGTCTGCTCGGGCACACTGCTCTGGATGGCTGTGCATAACAGTCATCCACAGCAGTGTGCTTACAGTGAAGCACCAACACAACGCCCCTTAGTAAAACACTCCCAGCACACAGTTAACCTTTTGATCGCCCCTCATGTTAACCCCTTCCTGCCTAGTGCCATTAGTACAGTGTCAGTGCTCCCTTTTTTTTTTTTTTTTTTTTTTTTTTTAAGCACTGATCACTGTATTGGTGTCACTGAAGATGTCAGTGACACCAAGTCAGTTCCCCCAGTGTCAGAATGCCCGCCCCAGTCCCGCTATAAGTTGCTGATAGCCGCCATTATTAGTAGAAAAAAAATGTTTTTAAAAATTCCAGTATCTATACTGCCATTGGAAACGCTATAACTTTCATGTAAACCAATTGATTTACACATTTTTGATTTTTTTTTTTTTTAACTGGACATGTTTAATAGCAAAAAGTCAAATATTGTTTTATTTTTCTCAAAATTGTCAGGGTTTTTTTTTGTTATAGTGCAAAAAATAAAAAACACACAGGCGATCAAATACCACCGAAAGAGAGCTCAATTTGTGGGTAAAAAAGGACATAAATTTCATTTGGGTGTAGCATGTCAGTTAAAATAACTCAGCGCTGTTCATGAAAGGGGGTAAATCCTCAGGAAGACAAGTGGTTAACGCAGTCCATACATTAGTCTTATTTTTTTCATTCAACCAGTAGGTTGAACGAAAAAAAAGAAAATTATCCAAACCTGGCGGATACTGGAGCTTGATTTGGTTGCTCACCATGAATTTACTGAGCACCCAAGTGCTTCCATGTGCAAGGGCAACCTGAAGGAATAAAGGTTGTTTTTTTTTTTTTTTTTTTTTTTTTAACTCTTTCTTGACAGGCACCCAATCGGTGCTCATTACACTGCAAGGTCTCTCCCCTTCCTGCTAGTCCCCGGGTGTGGTGCTGGAGACAGGCAGGGAGGCAAGTAGGATATAAACAGTGCAATGTTAAAAATATTAAAAGTTTTGGTGGCCATAAAGCCCCTTTTGTTTTTAAAAGCCCCAGACATTCCTAATATCACCTCCACATATCACCTAATAAAAAACATCAACCCTTCATATTTTGTGTCCTGGCAAAGTAATTTCATGGTTTAAAGGGACATATATCCATTGAAAATCCCTAGTGATAAAACTCTCATTCAGTAATAGTCTAACAATAAAGACCTTATTTAAATACGGTTTTGGTTAAAATTATTTTTTATTAGGACAATTAGATTGTTGTGAGGGACAAGTAGTTTGGGACCCTGATCTAGTCCCTTAGACAAGTAGTTTATACTCAGTGGTGTGGAAATCTTTTTTTTTTTTTTTTTTTTTTTTTTTTTTTTTTTTTTTGTTAACTGTCTGGAATTTCTTGTAGTGTGAACTAACTACTGTACAATTGAGCTGTCTGTGATCATTTTAAACTGTTTACTTCAGCCTACTCCCATTCAAAGAGGAGAACTCAGTGGTGTGGTTACACGCCTGTGAATCTGGCCTGCATTCTCATGGATGAATAGGTTTGTGCTATTGTAGACAACACCTGGGTGTGTTGCATAGTCAAGTAACAAAGTTATTTTAAAGGATATGCAAGTGTTCATTTTTTTTGTTCTCAATGTTACAAATAATTTACAACTCCAAATATTTGCTTTACTTTCTTTCTGCCTTTTTTTTATGTACTCCATCTTACCTGTTCTGGTAGACTTGCAGCAAAGTTGGAGGATTAGCGGTGCACAGCAGAGCACAAAGCAGAAGCTGCAAGTGTCATCAGCAAATATGGAGGATTATGTCTATAATTACAAAATATGTACCGAACTATGGGTTTTAACCACTTGCACTCTTGAAGATTTACCCTCCCTTCATGATCAGGCCATTTTTTGCTATACGGCTCTGCGCTACTTTAACTGATAATTGCTCGGTCCTGCAATACTGTACACTAAGGAAATTTATACAATTTTTTTCGCACAAATAGAGCTTTCTTTTGGTGGTATTTGATCATCGCTGGGTTTTTTTTTTTATTTTTTGCGCTATAAATGAAAAAAATAAATAAATATCCAATAAAGAAAGTTTAAGAAAATAAAATGTCTTCATAAATTTAGGCCAAAATGTATTCTGCTACATCTTTGGTACTATTCTGCTACAATGTCTACTTAATAATTTTTTTTTATGCTAGTAATGGCGGCGATCCGCGACTTATAGTGGGACTGCAATAGTACTGTGGGCATTCTGAAACTGACTGACACTGGGTGGGAACTGACTAACTGCCACTGACATCTCCAGTGACACTAATGTAGTGATCAGTGTTAATAAAAAGCACTGACACTGTACTATTGACACTGGGCATGAAGTAGGTAACATCTGGGGAAATCAAAGGGTTGTGATTAAACTGTGTTGTGTTTTAAAAGGGGATGTGCTGGCTTTTATCTCCCTGTTTGCAGAGAGATTAAAAAATGGCACATCCCCTGCTGACATGAAAGATCTGTGGTGTTTACACTCAGACTACTCTCCTCTAAGCTGCTCAGCCAATCACTGAGTCCCAGCCATGAATCGCTGGCTGGGACCTGGTGGTTGACGCCTACAGGAGCCAATGACCATGCGGGTAGGACGGCATGCATGCCCCCTATCCGGAAATGCAAATTCGTGTGTGTACACACACACACACACACACACACACACACACACACACACACACACACACACACACACACACACACACACACACACACACACACACACACACACACACACACACACACACACACACACACACACACACACACACACACACACACACACACACACACACACACACACAACACACACACACACACACACACACCAAGTACATAAAATACCGGTTTATCTTGCCAGACATGCAGTGTCCTTTTCACCCTCTGTGGGATGTGAAGCATGAACAATGTTATTTTTTCTGTAAAGTAAGACCCATCATGAAAGGGAGATGAACAAAGCAGACATGTTTGAAGTGCCGCCTGTGTGACAACCATGGCTCCCATCCATAGATGAACCAAAATTTGGCTGGTTCAGCAGGGACAGGATGAATTTTGATCCATCTATGGCTGTTCCCATTTGAGAAAAGCCAATATAATGATCTAATCCACTGGCTGATTTAAAAAAAAGAATCGTGTATATGGCAAGCTTAACCACTTGTGCACCGCCCTATATTATATGTGTAATTTTGCAGTTCTGTTCACGGCCTCAGCCATCAATCGCCAGGTCTCAGCCTGTGATTACTCGCCACCACCCGGTGATCGCCGAGTATCTCTGGCGGGGGAGAGACCTGTATATAAACAACACCGATCTCTCCAGGTCAGCTCCTGCACACTGATTTGTATGGCTCTGCTATGCAGAGCCATACAAAGCAGTGTGCTTACATTGGAAAGCACTCGCACAGCATACTGTGAATCAGCATACAGTTACTCCCTTTTGATCGCCCCAGATGTTAACCCCTTCCTGCCCAGTGCCATTAGTACATGGTCAGTGCCTTATATTGGCCCTGTATTGGTGTCACTGGGGATGTCAGTGACACTAAGTTCACCTGCAGTGTCAGAATGCCCGCTGCAGTCCCTCTATAAGTCGCTGATTGCCGCAATTGCTGGTAATTAAAAAAAATACAGTATATATACCTCCATTTGTAAACGCTGTAACTTTCACGTAAACCAATTAATTTACATGTATTGAGATTTTTTTTTTAGCAAAGACATGTAGCAGAATACATTTTGGCCTAAATTTATGATGAAATATGATTTTTAAATATTTTTTACTGGATAGGTTTTATAGCAAAAGTCAAAAATATTGGAGGTTTTTTTCATAATTGTCAGTCTTTTTTTGTTTATAGCACAAAAAATAAACGCACAGGCGATCAAATACCACCGAAAGAAAGCTCGATTTGTTGGAAAAAAGGACGTAAATTTCATTTGGGTGCAGCACTTGGAGGGCAAGTGGTTAAACAAGAACTCTGTTCAGCAAAGGACTAAAATATAAACAATAAAGCCAGCCCCGCAATCACTGGTCATTGGGTGAGGCTGCCACATCCTTAACAACCCATGGCTCATTCAGCTGTCAGTGGTTCCCTGACAGCTGAAGTGTAAACAAAAGAAAGGTCATTAGAGCTGTCAAAAAAAAAAGCTTTAACAATGTTTATCAACAACATTGCTCAGCCAAACAGGGAAAAAAAGAAACATTTTTTTCATTTTGTGTCTTTCTGTTTATTCATCTAGAGATCAAAGGGATTAACTTTGATCTGCAGATGAAGTCAGTTAAAAGCAACCTGTCAAATAAATAAGGTTTTTTAATCATTTAATGAAATGTTCCTTTTTAACTCTTAATTTACTCTAATAAACCCTGATTAGCTCCTTATTTGCCTCCATTTATTATTTGCCTGATGATTTATTTTTTTTTTTTTTTATTTCTATTTTATAAACTTTTAATACTTTTTTTTGTTTGCTTTGTTTAATATTTTTACATCTTTAACATATATTTAAAGGTTTCATATTGAAAAAAGTGCAACATTGAAAAAAAAATGTATTTATTTCATTTGCAAATAACTTTTCAATGCTTTATACCAGAATCATAATTTTAGTGTCGTCGTAAAGAGGGCGAATTACAGAATAAAATGCACTCTTTTTATGTGCAAAAAATTTTTTTTTTACTTTTTTCTTTAATTTTAAACTAACACTCCTCAAAAAAAGCAAGTGCTTTTTTTTTTTTTCTTTTCTTTAGTATTGTTATATTTAATTGTCTAAGAATTGTAAAGAAAATATCATTATATTGTAAAGCGCTGAGCAAACTGTTTGACGCTATATAAATCCTGTATAATAATTATTGCAAAACAATATTCACTAAAAGAAATCCTTGTTTGTCCTTAAAAAAAAAGAAATATATGTATTATGTTATTATCTTAAGTAATGACAGTTATCGCCCAAAAAAAAGGGTCCATAGCAGAAATGTAAAAATTGATTTGGTCCATAAGGGGTGAACAGATGTGAGAGCCGAAGTGGTTAAGGAACGGAGCCAAGGCATCCTTAACAACCAATCACTTATTCAGCTGTCAGCGGGGTTCCTCTGCTGACAGCTGAAGAGTAAACAAAACAGTTGCCGGCAGGTATCGGTAATTGGTATCGGCAATACAAAAAAAATAAAGTACTTGTACTTGCTGTAAAAAAAAAATTGTATTGGTGCATCCCTTCTATAGTCACATGGGCCGCTCAGATTTGATAGGGAATAAATGCTCAGCGTAGAAACTCACTGAAAACTGAGCATGTGCTGAGCTGCCAGCACTGCTCTGCAAAATCCCTTGCTGCATTGGGGACATGGGCAGAAGGGGGAGATAGTGAACAGCAGGATCAACCAGGTGTTTTTTGCAGAATTCACAAAATGAAGCCCTTAGTGAATGAGTGAGTATGAACAGCATGTAACACAGCATTTGATAGTTTTTTTTATGGTGACTCTTTAAGCTCTTTTACTTGTGTATCGAAAGAAACATTAAAAAGACTGTAGTTCCTTATTATTTATAAGAACACATTTCCCCTTTAAAAGTATAGTCTAATCAAAGCTAAAAGCTAAGCATTGAGATACAAATGAGGAAACCATTCTGCCATACAGTTAGGTCATTTAGATAAGTTTCTCATACCATTGTTCTTTCACCAGCCGTACACTGCATGTCTTTTTGGCAGCAATACACATCTACTTTAGATAGCATTTTATCACAATATCTTTGCTTTATGCACACATGGCCTTTCAAGGCACCGTTTCCTTAGATATTTATTAGGAAGCACAGAAACACAGCCTGCAATGGAACCAGCAGGAGATTACAATATAGTAAAGAGGAGTTTTTCCCCTTCCAGATAAAAGGGGAAACCAGAAAATCAACAACTATAAATACAATCCTAAATAAAAGACATATAAAAAGGAAGGCATGTGTTTCTTTAATCCTTTTCTGAGCATTCGCAGGAAGTATTTTTCCAGCCACACCTTTACGTCTTCAGTAGAGTGGGGAAGGGGTAGATTCTCTGTCTCCAGAGGCATTTCACTTCCTATCTTGTCCCAGTAATTTCAGTCCCTGACACTAATGTGGACACATACAGCAAGGGCTAGAATCTTGGCCAGGTTTTTATTCTTGGCCTGTTTAGGAGATTTGCCCTTCTTTCCTGTTCAAATGTAATTTACTGAGACAGAGAGGGCCCCAATACAACTATACCTGCGGGGGCAAGATGCCATAACTTGTAGAATTCTGTTTACTGCTGCTCTTGATTCTAGTTAATCCTGGTAGCTGTGGAATTAAATACTCTAAAACCAACCTGCAGCCTCCTGTTACTTATTATGCAGTCCTCAGGAACCAGCATCCAGTAATCTGGTTTCCTTGCCTATATTCTCACACCCAAACTGCATAAACCGCAGCAGTGTGAAGAGAAGCATTCTTGGGCTTTCTCTTTGATCCTGTGTCATGAGATTTTGATGTTGTGAAACCCTTGGAATGGTTCTCCTCCCTCTGCTCGTGGTCTTAAAAAAGTGCTCACATGCGCACTGTGTTACATGGCACTAATTTTTATTGGGGCTCCCACAAATATGGGAGCATTGATTTGTAAAGGGGTTGTAATGGCAGTGTGACCAGTCTGTGGCCAAAACCTAATATGGTCAAACAAGAAATTGCACTAAAAAGCAAAAAATTAGCTGGCACAATAATTGACATAAATTGTTTATAAATAAAATAAACCTAAAGTGCCGCTCGAAAAAGAAGTGCATTAAATATTGTAAGTAAAGGGTACATACAAAAATCCAGTGCTAGTGTACACAAATTTAAAATAAACCATCTCAAGAACAAAAAACAGCCCTGTGAATTGTCCCAAAGTAAGGAGTGAGTGAAGAGAATCTTGATCTATCCAACTGTTTGATATTGTGGACATAATGACATCTTTAAGTGCACCACCTCTGTGTACAAACAAAACTCTTACCAGAGTTACTGGACTCTTTAACAACAGAGACAAAAAGACATTTAGGCCTTAAAGGCATTCTCCGGGTCACCACTGTATCCTCCTGGGCTCCCCATCGGTAAACAAAGATACCCAGTATTAACATGGAAAGAGCTAGGAAAACCACATAGCATGAAACCATATAGGCAGGTGTGGACTGACAACTCATGGGGCCCCGGGGCAATAGGGGATCATGGGGCCCCTGTGTCCTTACCCACACTTAAAAAAGGTACCAGGGGCATTTCATGGGGCCCCCAACTGACCCCGGGCCCTCGGGCAGTGCCCAAGTGCTCGAATGGTCAGTCCGCCCCTGCATATAGGTGAAGTGACCATAACCTGTAGCATGTTTGCAGTTTCTGATCGGCTCCTGTAATAAGTCTGCAATCTCTGGCAGTTGTTTGTAAAATTACATATTCTGAATATAATGTATGGTGTGCTTGAAGGGCCCTATATCTAGAATGTTGACCACCACTGCTCTAACAAAATATAGAAGAATCCGTTCAACCATTTGCAGTACGGGTGCATGACTGGGAATTTTTTTCTTTATTTAAAAATGCTTTTTTTTTTTTAAATTGATGTAGAAGATGTGCAGAAGGTAAGGTGCAAAGCAGTGCTCCCCAAATTTTGTGTTATTTTGTTGCACACATTTTCTTTCTTCATAGGTAAACATGTATTTTTCCAGATAGGACACTTTATTTCTTTATTATTTCATTGTGCCATGATCACCTTATGGGCACAGAAGCCCTGTTGTCAATATAGTTTGTTAGGCATTAAATCTTCAGTTATACCCACAAAAATGCAAGTATTTGTAAATGCAAATGTTTCTGGAATACAAGAATGTACTGCAAAAGTGTACAACTTTTTTTCTTTCAAACAGCTATCACTTGAGAGTCCACACATACTATATATTTGAGTTTAGAATATTGCAAGTATAAAGGTGGAATTTGACATTAATTTTACTTGCAACTTATTTTCTTTTTGTCCATTTAGGTGAACGGTTTTTTTTAAGCTAGAAAATCTTTTGCACAAAGATGCAGTGGAACTCTTCAGGAATGCTGGTGAATTTGTGGTCTTAAAGGTTCAGCACCAGGTATGTTAAGCTGGGTCTCCTGTTCCGGAAACAAATCCCCAGCTTTTACCTGCTGTGTCCATACTCTAGTGCTGTCCCCTTTCTCCTCTGTTTAGTGCCACATGTCCTCTGCAGGGCCAAACTGTCATTTTCCTGTGATCCCAGTCTGTCTTCTACACTACCCCCCTCTCCAAGGTGGTGCATCACTGCATAAGCTGAAGGCAGTCTTCCAGGACTAAGTGGCATTTTCTTCTCTTCTTCTCCATGGCCAGAAGAGAAGAAAGCTTTGGTGATGTAATTGCCTGTTAAAGGGTATACGGGTCAAAAAAGTAGGACTTTAGGTTTGGGGGTGGGAGATGGGTGGTAACTTGACTGGAGTATTACTTTAAAGTGTTGTTTAACCCTGAAATTTTAAATATCTTATAATGTTGCAGAACTCGGAGCTTTTCATGATTGCTGTGTGATTTTCCCCCCCCCCCCCCCCAAACCTGAAGTATCTGTACATTCCATCTGTCAAAACGTTTGTCTTCTACAGCTTCCATTCTCTGGTAGCTCCATCTCCTTGCATGGTCCCATGGAGCCACCCTTGTGTGCTTGCTTTCCAGCTGGGACTACAGCTAAATCTCTCTACTCTGCGTGATTACAGAGAATCAGATATCCCTAAAACGAGTGGCAAGCTACTTCCTTGCTCATCCCTGCTATTAGAAAGTTGATAGCAGCAGGAGGCTTTACTGCTTATTGTTACTAGTTCTATGGGTACTTGGGGCACACATTGCCCACTCTCACTGTGTCCTCTTTGCGTGCGCTTCCTACCCAGAAGTTCAGGGGTGGGGGCAACACAGAGTGATCTGAAGCAAGGGGGTAGTGACACACAAATTTAGTAAACAATATATTGTGGAATGTTTCCCTCATTGAAAAGCATTCATTAATTGTAAAAAGTTTTACTTTTTTTTTTAAATCAGTTGAGGACTCCCTCGTCCATCTATGTCTCCATGCTTTATTTTGCTGAGAAATCATTTTGAAAAACACCCCCTGGCATTTCTGGCAGTGGCCATCTTGAGTAAGGGCAGATGATTCATGTAGCATTTACTTCCTGGAATCCATCTGGGAACCCTCCCTCCCTGCCTGAAGACTGCTGGGATGTATGACATCATTTGCCTAAGCAGGAAACCAGGAAGTAATGTAAAAAAAAAGTTTAAAACATGTAAATTTTATCTACTTTCCTATCTATTTACTAAAGCTGGCAGCAGAGGGATTAAAAATATAGTCCTTGTTGATTGAGAGAGTGAACTTCCACTTTAATGTGAACTGGTCTTTTCCTAAAAAGTGCCTAAGGTAACAGTGCTAAAGTGCAGGCACCAGTGTGATCAGCCTGATCACCTGTAGAGCTCCTTAGATCCTAGGCCTAGGTGTTGCTGAGATTATACTCTGTTCCTACTAATTCAACAGTTAAAAGTCAAGGCCTCTACCGCTTGCATTTGACTGTCGTCAGGGGTTTAATTTCAACGTTAAGATAAGTTGAGGCCATGTGTCTATCCTAGGCCTAACTGGACAGATGGATACCAGATTTTGAAATCGGTACGCTAAATATCTAGTGACTGTGGATTGAACACTTTGCTGGTCTCTACTGAGTGTTGACAACTTCAGCAATGAGCCCAAAACTATTGAGAATAAATGGGACTAGTAAACTTCAGTGATTCAATCACCCTATTAAAGATGAAGTCCCTCTACTCCTAATCCTCCACTGTTTAGAGTAAAGTGAAAAATTAATCTCTAGGGAGGCACCAAAATTCCAGTGGCCGAAACATTTTGGCCAAAAACACCCCTTTCAGCTGTCGGCTGAAATTAAAAAAAAAAGCACCGATACAGGTGACGAAAAAACCCAGCCCCTCAAAGCCGCTCGCCGGCTAGCCACCGCTCGGTAGTTCAGTCTTATCTGAGAAACCATCATTGCCGGCGCTGGGCATAGAGATGAGTGAAGGACAGATGGCCGCCACACATCTCTATGCCCTTGGAGGACCGGAGCGATGTCCCTTCTGGTTCCAGCCATTTTTTTTTTTTTTTCTTGTTTAAAGAACTAATCAATGCTTTTTTTTGATCTAATGCTTTACATTGCAGAGGAGAGATGTGAGGTCTTATTGACCCCAAATCTCTCCATTAAGAGGACCTGTCACTAATTATTTCTATCACAAGCGATGCATGCATTTCTTGTGATAAGAATAAAATTACAATTTTTTTAAAAGGAACAATGCAAAAAAAAAAAACAAACAACAAAAAAAATTAAATAAATTTTTTTAAAAAAAGTTTAAAGTCCCCCCCCCCCCCCCTCCCGTGCTCGCAACATAGTGGTGAATGCATACGTTGGCCACACCCACATATGTAAATGGTGTTCAAACCACACATGTGAGGTATCGCCACGAACGTCGGAGCAAGAGCAATAATTCTCGCACTAGACCTCCTCTGTAACTTTACACTGCTAACCTGTAAACATTTTTTAAATCCTCACCCATGGAGATTTTTAAGTACTGTAGTTTCATGCCATTCCACAAGCGTGCACAATTTTAAAGTGTGACATGTTGGTTATATATTTACTCGCCGTAACATCCTCTTCCTTTTTTTTCCCCCAAAAACAGTTTTATTGAGAAATAAAGCAGAATGGTAACATATGGATTACATTCGGATCATGTATACAACTTAGTAAATGCTCGTATCCCTGACGGGATATAAATCTGAAACACATATACTGTCATCAATTAACATTGCTTGAGTTTGGGAGGAAGACATACACAAAGAAAACAGAGAACATGTTCCAAGCAAATATTGGCGTAGAATAAAGTGAACAGAGCAGTTGGGTACAGACATCAGCCAAACCTCATATGAGCCCCTTTAATTGACAAATGTGATGTAATACAAAGTGAGAGGATGGTGAGAACAGTGGATAAAAGGGCGTCCACCCCTGAGGGGCAGAGGCTGAGGAGTTGCAGTTGTACCTGTGGATCTGCTGGTATTCCAAGTTCATCTAAACTCGGAGAAATGGGAAGGTAATGTTGAGAATGTAGGATAGAGCGAAGGAGGAGAATGAGAGGGAGTGAAAGGGGGAGGCAAGAAGAGGGAGAGATGGAGGAGAAGAGAAAAAAAAAACATCCTCTTACATATTTTAAAAAACAATTGGGGGGTATATATTGTTTTTTTTAATCAAAGTGTATTTTTTTCCAAAAAATATATATTCATTTTTAAAAACTGCGCATTTCGGTTTCGGCCAAGTGCCTTTTGAATTTTCGGTTTCGGCACCAAAATTGTCATTTTGGTGCACCACTACTAATCCCTCAGAGAAGACAGCCCCTTTGTACTGGCCTTGTCATGTGGGTGCAACTGGGAACACTGGTGCAGCACATTTGTTATCCAAAGACCAAAAATTCCTCTGCACTCAAGTGTGGAGGATTGAGGTGATAATACAGTATATGTCCCACAGCTGGTCCTGTTGACTTGAGTTTTCCACAGGTCACCAAGTGCTCCCTAGGCCTTGCAGCCCTCTTTGGACAGGGGAATACCAAACCCTAAATTACAACAAGAAGGATGCACCAGCCTAGTGCATTACCAATGATGTCATTTATTATAATAAGTGATAATTCATACTCATGAGTGTAAAACACATAAAACAGAAGGAAAACCATGACCTCAGCCTGTATTACTGGACAAGGTTTGTTGATATCCAAAGAGCAGATGCTGACATTTTTCAAGGGTAAACCCTCTTCTGAGCTCTGAAAAGGGTTTTCCCTCAAAATGTGCCAGTCGGCTATTTAAATCTCATCCAACCCTATTCAGGGCCAGAGGCTGAGGCTATGGCTGAAGTTTTCACTTGTTTTACCTGTTTTACACTCATTGGTGTTTGAGTATAATTGTTTACAACATTTATTCTGATAAATGGTTTTGTCACAATGCACTAGGCTGGTCTAACCTTCTTGCTTTCTGTTATTTAGTGCTCTTATTTTTGAAAAGTGTGCAGTTAAAAATGGAAAGGGATTTACCACCTTGCACCTACTGGAATTTGAAGTCCCTTTTGGGTGAACCAACCAATTAATAAGGGAACTTGTTCTTTGGTCTTGAGAAATGTAGGTAAATCTAGCCAAGGCTTCCGTAATGTTAGGTTTTAGAAAGCAGTTTATTCCTTTAGATAGATCAGGGGTCTCCAAAATTTCTAGACAAAGGGCCAGTTTACTGTCCTTCAGACTTTAGGGGGGCCGGGCTGTGACCTTTGAGAGTAGAAAATGTCCTGATGTCAGTGGAGCAAAAAACAATGCCCCATCTTTGGTGTCAGTGGGAGGTGTTGTGCCCCATCATTGGTGTCAGTGAGCGCAATTGTGCCACATCAGCAGTGTTATTGGGCCCCATTGTTGGTATCATAGGGAGAAATTGTGATCTATCGTTGGCGTTATTGGGAGGAATTGTGCCCCATAATTGGTGTCATATGGAGGAGTAGCGTCCCTTCATTTGTGTCAGTAGGGGGAATTATGCCCCATCATTTGTGTCAGTGGGCCCCATTGTTGGTGTTAGTGGGAGAAATTGTGCCCCAGCCTTGGTGTCATTGGGAGGAATTGTGCCCTATCATTGGTGTCATTGGGAGGAATTGTGCCCTATCATTGGTGTCATTGGGAGGAATTGTGCCCTATCATTGGTGTCAGTGGGGGGAATTCTGCCTCATTGTTGGTATCAGTGGATGAAAAAGTGCCCCAAGGGCCAGATAAAAGCAAGCAAAGGGCCACAGTTTGGAGGACCACTAAGAGAGATCATTGATTCATTTTGTTTTTTTCTAGTGTGTTCACCAGTGGGCTCTTCCTAAAAATATAATGATGTAAGCATTATAGAGGCCATAGACGGTTCGTTTATCGGCCGATTTTTTCGTCCAATATAATAATCGGCCGATTTTCGCACTGTTAGTGGGGCAATGGCATCGGCTGATTTTCGCAGTTCCTCCTCATTTCTTTTATTGGTCATGCTGGAAAATTTGTGAAAAACGGCCG